TTCTTAATGTGTTCAAGATTATTTCAGCAAAGTTCCAGCTCGAATGAAAGAGTTTTAATTTTGGAACAATTTTCGTCCAAGTGGCCCTTTAAGTAGTGATTAATTACATGTTAAGTATAAAAAAATTTCACAAGGGTAGAGCTTAGACGCTGTTCAAGACGACAGTACTTACCGGCAAGAATGGAAATGACTGTATATATTAAGCATACCATCTTATTTCCTTGCTTGCTCGTCTGATTATATGAGAAAGCAGTCACACAGAAAGATATTTACAGCCTGTAAAGCAGTTTATTTCCTGTATACACTTCAATGCATTCTGTAATGTGATCACCAGAGTTGTTATGACAGACTAGTCATAACGCTAGCTAGCTTGTCACGCTAAGCAAGGTATCAAGACTATCAAGTTTGCCGTAAAAGTCTGGAGGTTTTACAGCTATTTTCATAAACATGCGACCTAGGTGCTCTTGAGTTGCAAATTTGGTTTTTCGCTGCCGACAGTCAAAAATATGAAAGTTACCGACTGATTAGGTTTGATTGACGGCAGCGGAAAACCAAATTTCAGCGTGCAACTCAAGAGGACCGAGGTCGCATCTTTATGAAAATAGCTGTAACGGTCGCAGTCGAGATTTTAAGCTGATGCATCAGAGTAAGTATAGACAACCCGTGAAAATGGATCATCATGTGATCTGGGAAATTGAAAACTAATAATAATTATGGATAAATGCAAGTGTAAAATAATTGGAAAAAATAAGAACTATGAATGATAATGGATTAATCTTCCTTGGAGATACCGATGGTGTATGACCGACTTGTGTTCTTCAATTGCACGTTACGTCATTGCGGCCATGTTGGTGCATTGCTAAAGATTTTTAAATATAATTCATTGTTAATCTCTCTAAGATGGCAATGCTTTTGTCTGAATTTTATTGGGTATGCTTGGAAATGTTTTTCAGCGTCATTTGTACGTTTCTTTGGTACATATGAAAAAGTAATGAATCGAATAAGTGATTTTTCTCGAGTGCGTTTTCTCAAGTAAACTACATAACATCTCTTAACGAAGAAAACTAATGCGCAAAGCGCTAAACCTGCAATAAGCGGTGCTTATCGCACAATATCAGTTGTCTTCACAGGAATTCTTGTGCCTGGTGACAGCGTGCCGTACTTTGGATCTGCAGGAACGAGGGTGGTGATTTCCTGGTATGGATTGTGGGGTTGTGGTGTGTTGTTACCAGCCAACCCCTCATCAGTTGTCTTCACAGGAATTCTTGTGCCTGGTGACAGCGTGCCGTACTTTAGATCTGCAGGAGCGAGGGAGGTGATTTCCTGGTATGGATTGTGGGGTTTTGGTGTGTTTTTAGCAGCCAACCTCTCATCAGTTGTCTTCGCAGGAATTCTTGTGTCTGATGACAGCGTGCCATACTTTGGATCTGCAGGAGCGAGGGAGGTGATTTCCTGGTATGGATTGTGAGGTTGTGGTGTGTTGTTAGCAGCCAACCCCTCATCAGTTGTCTTCACAGGAATTCTTGTGTCTGGCGACAGTGTGCCATACTTTGGATCTGTAGGGACGAGGGTGGTGATTTCCTGGTATGGATTGTGTTGTAGTGTGTTGCTATCAAGACATACTGTGTGACGTTCTGGACTTTCATTATCCGATGGCGACTGAAACCTAAAACGAATAGCTTGCTTAATTTTGAATCATCATTTCAGTTACCTCGACCAATAGACCACTGCTCATTCCCTATGATTATAGAATGTCACTTGACAAAGAGTTTACGCCCCCCCCCCACCCCCCCTAGGCTAAGCACAAAAAGAACTATAAGAACAATGGCATGTAAGACGCCTAAATTATTTTGTCTTTAACATCGATGTGCGTTGCAGATAGGGTAAAGGATTAGCCGGGTAAGGACAGGGGATCGGGTAGTGTCTCCCCTGATCAGTTTCCGGCTTTGGATTCTTTCTTTCGGGTCCCTTCAGAAAACAATTGTTCAATTTGAGTATAACTTACCTTCTTCTTCCAACGTTGGCTAAAAAATAATTACATAAATTAATTAATTACTTTATGGGAATGATGGAGGCTTTATATTATTATCTTTTTTTGGAGGGGGAGGAGAGGGGGGGAGAGGTCGAAATAAAAGGGAAGGGTTTGCGGTATCTTGATTTTTTTGTTGATAATTTATTTTATTACAGGACATTTACGCAACAAATACAAATAAAATAAAATAAAATAAAATAAAATA